TTGCAGATGAGAGGCTGGCAAGTGAGGCGGGGAACGTTGGAGTCTGCAGCAAGCAAGCCTCGTGCTCGCTTCAGTGCCTGGCTGCCGGCCGCCATCTTGGCTGACAGTTAATTTGCATATACTCACTGATTAGCCAATGAAAAGGGTAGCGGTCGTACGCCAATTACCATGTTTCTCTTTTATTAGTGTAGATATATATATAAAGAATGCTCCACAGAACAAATCCTATGGGTGTTGGGAATGAGGCAGGAGATTCTAGGGTCAAATAAATTCAAAAAATACCTCATGTCTCCTCTATGAAGCATTAAATCACATGATCATATTAAAAGTTTGGCAAGCCCTAGCTAGTTTGGCTCAGTGGATAGAGGGTCGGCCTTCAGACTGAAGGGTCCCAGGTTAGATTCCAATCAAGGGCAGGCTCCTCCCCCGCCTGGGTCCTGGATGTGGCATGTGCAGGAGGCAACCAATCGATGTGTTTCTCTCACATCGATATTTCTCTCAGTCTTTTCCTTTCTTCCACTCTCTCTAAAAATCAATGGAAAAATATACTCCGGTGAAGATGAAAAAGAAAATAAGTTTGGCAAAATCCTGAAGTAAAGGAAACTGGTTAACTTTGACACTAACTCTGGGCAGGTAATAGAACTCTATTAAGTGTTCAGAATAATTCTTGACACACAGTGTTAGCAATTAATATTTAAACTGACATTTTCTAAATATATTTGAACACAAAGTCTGTTTTCTGGCCTAGCCATTAAAAGCATTGCATGCTATATACTTTGAGAAACAATGTCGTAGAATAAATACTCCACCATATCAGTCATTTTGGAGGTTTGTGGCTCTAGACTTTAGCTGAAATACAGGCAACCTAATAGTTTGAATGTGGGACAATTCCTCTGGTTTCTCTGTAGCTGGCAAACAAGGTTTCAACTGTCAGCTTCCCGAGGTTTCAGTTTCACCAAATTAAGACAGAAATGTGTGCACTGTGTGAACTAGACAAAAACAGCTCTGCAGTGGAAAGAGGTTTGCTAGAGCTAAATTTCCCAATCCATTTTTTGTTCATAGAAAGCAGTATGTTCATCAGCAAACTTAAAGTAGACGATTCTGAATTCCAGCTAGTTAAAGTACAAAATTGTGCAGCATTTTGTGTGTGAGCATCTGTATGTATTTTCTTGGGTGAAATATTATAGTTGTCATCAAGGGATCCATAATGCCTAAAAAGGTTAGGAACCACTCAGTTTTCAGATCAGGTCCATGTATTGTTTAAATACATATTAAAAATCAAACAGTACCAGGGCATATGTATACATGGTGAAAAGTAAGTCTCCCAATCCTAATGCTTATCCAAGGTCAACCACTGTTAGCAGTTTTTTATATTCCAAAGATAGTTTATGCATGTGTTTCTAAGTATATACAGTAATATTATGCCATCCCTCTATTTTTGCATAAATAATAGGCAATATACGCTATACTACAACTAGCTTTGTTCACTTGGCAGTTTACGTTGAGATCTATTCATATTATAACACAGGTACATACCAAATTTAAGACATCGCTATGATAGATACTTAGATGGTTACCAATGTCTTGCTCTTTATAAATAATGCTGAAAATAAACATCCTTGAAGCTATATCTTTAGGCAAGAAATCCAGCAAAGAACTGCTGAAACAAAAAGTATAAAGACTGTTAAACTGTCCTCCAAAGGTTGCGCATTGTATACTCAACACTTATTTCCCACATACGCAATAAAAGATTTTCAAATTTTCTATCTTTGTTAATCTGACAGGTGAAAAATGGTAACTCCCGGCTTAAATTTTTGTGGCCTATTATGAATGGAAGAACCTCTGGTTTCAGATATACTTATGACAACTTCGTCATGGAAAGAAAAGGCGTCATCAAACTGGAACAATAACGGAATTCTATTAGGAAGAAGCTACCCCCAGAAACCCAGCTTACCCACGGGTCCCACTCACCGTCTAGCAGCCAGTGCTGATCCTGTCGGTTCTCCAGCTCCGACAGCATCATGCGTGTGATCACGTGGTCTGGAACTAAACGGCCTTTCTCTATGTACTGCTTTGCCACATCACCAACTTCTGTTATAAAGAGAGGAGAAAAGAGATTCTCAGAAAAAGCTTCAAAAATAAAAAACCTTACAAACTCTTTTTGGACAGTTTTGCCTTCTCTCCCATTCCTCCTGGTTCATATGAGGAAGGGTGGGGGGTTAGAGTTAAGTTTTAAATATTGCTTCAGTAATGGTGGCACTGTCTCCCTCTTGTCTCCCAAAGAATTATAAAAGCACCTCTTGTTGAAATAAAAATAAAAGAATATAAATTAGACATAACGTGAAAATAAGAGTAGGAAACAAAGTTGGAGCCTGGAAAGAGGGTGGTACCCAAAAGGCCAGAAAGGAGTCCTGGCGACTCCCTGGAGGTGAGCCAGAAACTGGATCCTGAGCCTCCCAACAAGCTATGGTAACAAGGAAAAGTGATCAACCACACGGCACACAGTGTACAGAAGATTGAAGGAAGCTGCGAAGCACAACCATTCCTTAGAGACCAAAGGAAAAACATTTCCACTGTTCTTCTAGAAAGAATGCTGGGTAGTACACACAACAGGTCTATATCTTTTCCGGAGCCCCCGTATAAGCAAATAGCACCTTGCTGACATAACTGTGAAAGAAACTAACTCAGTGTTACCAGTGGAATGCCAAGTTCATAAAAGAATGAAAAGTTTTTAATTTTTTTTTCAGGAAAAAATGCTTCTATCTTAATTTAAAATAACAATTCCTTACTTGTAGAAGTTGTGAGTTGGATTCAGCAGAACAAATGATCAGTTTAAATTGTTTAAATGTCTACGCACTGAGTTTTTATTTAACCAAGATGAAGTCATCTGCTCTCCAGGGAACTCTTAGTGAACCATGAGGAGTCACATCCTCCACAAGCCAATGAAGTTCTTATAGAAACATAAAGCAGCTTTATATTACGGGGGAGAGGGGGAGGGATGGGAGCTCAAGAATCATTTTCCCCCACCTTCACCTTGAATTTAAGGTAGAGCCTTTCCTTCTCAAGGCTGAGTCTACTCCTAACTCCAACTTCCACACTGAAACATGAGCTGTGAAGAGCTCCGTATCACTCCATCACTCCTACTGGACCAAAGTAGCTCAGTTAGGCCCCAGGAGATGCGTATTCAATAACTCCCTGAAGAAGCAGAACACTAAAGACAAGCACATTCCTGAATGTGGCTGAACATGAATGGGAAAATACTGATTGATTGCGTACTACGTAACAGGTAATATTCTAGAGAGGTGGCAGTAAAGAAAAGTACTGATATTTAAGCAGTATTAATTTCCTTAAGAGCAACACTAGCGATCATTAACTTAATACATCCTATGCTCCTTTAACTGAATACATACTATGTTCCTTTAAGTATTGTATGTGTCATTTCATTTCATCCTCATATATCCTCACCTTCACCTGGGAGGTAACAGCCATTTTTTTATGACAGCTTTTTGAGACATAACACACACCACAAAATTCACCATTTTATAACATACAACTCAGTGGTTTTTAATACATTCTCAGTGTTGTGCAATCATCACCACTACCTAATTCCAGAACATTTTATCAACCCCAGAAAGAACCCCTGCACCCATTAGCAGTCACTCCCCATCTCCTCCTCCCACTAGCATGTGGCAACTACTAACCCGCATTCTGTCTTTAAAGATTAGCCTATTCTGCAACATCTCATAAACAGAATTACACAACATGTGGTACTTTGTGTCTGGTTTCTTTCACTTAGCAGAATGATTTCAAGGTTCACTCATGGTGTAGCACAGGGGTCCTCAAACTACGGCCCGCGGGCCACATGCAAATACAAATATTGTATTTGTTCCCATTTTGTTTTTTTACTTCAAAATAAGATATGTGCAGTGTGCATAGGAATTTGTTCATAGTTTTGTTTTTTTAAACTATAGTCCGGCCCTCCAACGGTCTGAGGGACAGTGAACTGGCCCCCTGTTTAAAAAGTTTGAGGACCCCTGGTGTAGCATATATCAGTACTTTGCTCATTTTTATGGCCGAATACTATTCTTCCATTGTACAGATAGAACATATTTTGTTTAGCTATTTGTTCATTGAGGAACATTTGGGTTGTTTGTTTCCACTTCAGGGCTATGGTGAATAATGCGGCAATGAACATTCGTGCACAAGTCTTGGTCTGAACATATGCTTTCAGTTCTCTTGAGTAATACCTGTAGGGTATGTATGTTCTGTATCTGAAAAATCACTTTCATAGTAGGCTTGGAGTAACTGACAAGTTTGGTGCTGTCCTACTCTGCAATAGGCAGGCCAACCAGCCCCAGAGCCCTATTCTTAGGCCCATTTAACAAAACTTAAGGTAGATATAAACAAGTACACAGCTTCCAAGGTGAGAGACCAAGATGTGAAATGGTGCCAGACATCCCATGAGGAAAGAGAAGGTAGCAGCTTCTTTGGAAAAGAGAAGACCCGGAGAAGGACATGATAACAATTTACCCATGGCCTGATACTCGATACATGGGAAAGGCTTTATTTTATTCAAAGCCTAGGATTTAGAACTAGGATTAGTAGTGGGAATTTCAAGTGGTTCCCAAAAGTTGCCTAAGGAAATGTCTGAATGGAGACTCAAACACTGCCTAGGAATGGCTACTGTAGAGGGATTCTGACAACTGGACTCGGGATTGGGCAACATGGTTTTCCAACTATTTTTGGCAGCCTTGGCTCTTCTCAGGCAGGATAGGTATGTCCTCAATCTGATTCCAACATCAAACTTCCACCACATCTCTCAATCCCTACCATGAAAACCTGGAAAGGTCAACAGCCAGAGCAAAATGGATTTAATAATATATCTACATCTGAATGAAGACCTTGCTACAACAGCAAACAGTAATACAACGTGGGTCAGGAGACAGAGGCCCAATCCGGGAAACATGACCTTCACCTGCCCAGGTCAGTTTGCTTGGAAGAAAAGCAATATTATTAAGTGCTAATGCTAGCACATTTGGATACAACACATGGCTGCTCCAATCTTTCAAGTAGAATTCCAAAGAAAGGCTGCAGACAAGCACACAGTGTCTTTTTGTTCTGACTCCCTATAAATTAAGGGCAAACTGGACAGAGCTGGACAAGTGTTCACAAAGCAGCAAATTCCCCAAGATGACTAGTCAAACCACCAGAAACAGAGAACAACTCAAAAAAAGTATTTTTATTGATTTCAGAGGAAGGGAGCGAGAGACAGAAACATCAATGATGAAAGATAATCATTGAATTATTGATCAGCTCCTCCTGTAAGCCCCACACCGGGGATCAAACCCACAACCCGGGCATGTGCCCTGTCGACGCTCAACCACTGAGCCATGCCGGCTGGGCTCAATGTCCTTTTAATTGTTCATGCAGAAAACACTGAGAATAAAAGAACTCTGTAAAAAAACAGCTTGATTCCCTCATAAGGCTGCCTAGAACCAGGAGAAACCATTGCCACTCCCAGGATCAGCCCTTCTTCAAAAGGTCATTGAAAATGCCAAAGCACACACACGCACCATCTGAGGAGTGGTCAAAATGAACTATCGCTTTGTGGTTCTGCCAGCTACAAGTTCCTTATCCCCCCACTCTTAAGAATATTTTGACACTGAAGTAGTTACTTGAAAAAGATTAATAAAACAAAGAAAAACTTCATTCTATAAACTATTTATCCTTGAAATCACTTTGATGAATCTCTTTGGATTAAAAAAAATAATAATAAGCTTTTTAAAAAATCTTGGTTAAGAGATTGATACCAAGGACCTTTAGAGGTGAGAATTATGGAAGAAACTCCTAATTTTAGGGTTTTGGGGGGCACTTAACTCAATGACTCATTTCAGATGTCCAGTATCCACCCTCCAGTTGGCCTACCTTAAAAGCAGGCTTTCTTTTCCTTCACAACAAAAAGACATGGTCTTAAATCATTCTGTGACACTTGCTATTGGTAGGTATGAAGAACATTCTGAGTCATACTTCCTGGGTTCAAATTCTGACACTGCCATGGACAGGCTTTTAAGACTTTGGTCACATTGTGTGTTTTGGCCTCACTTTCTTCATCTATAAATAGGGAATACCCACCACCTACGATTGTTTTAAAAGTTGTATGTGATTCATATGTGGTAAAGGACTTGGAATAATACCCCTTTGCAAGTTTCATTCAAGGATATGGAGATCGTATTTTGCTCGTATATGGCAGGTGTTGTTCTCAGTAGTTTATATACATGAACCCATTTAATGCTAATATCTAGGAAGTCGATGTTATTATTTTCCCCATTTCATAAATCAACTGAAGCACAGAGGTTAAGTAACTTGCCCAAAGTAATTCAGCTAATAGATGGTGGAGCCAGAACTCAAACTCAAGCAGGCTGGTACCAGAGTTCCTTTTCTTTACCACTCGTCACACTACATTATCTCTGAATGTTTGTGAGCATTTCCTTGAACACAAGCACTTTGAATGTTAGAGTACATGTGTAATTTGTGATTTATAAGAAATATATATGGTCCAAAGTAAGGCTTAGAGCTCCCCAGTGCCTTGGAATTTCCCGAGTGGTAAGAGCAATGGGAGCATCTTTCATTATAATATTTGGTCTCTTGTCCTTAGTTCCTGAAAATGTTCCGGAGCCCTAAAAGTGAAATGGTGTCTTGTTATTCATAATAAGCCTCTTCCCACAACTGGGTTTATAATAATGGGATAACTGTTGGAAAGCACCTAAGGGTGGGCACTGGTTGCCAGAGGAACAACCATGAAGAGAGGGGTATACTTTCACTCCCACCCCCTGACTTCCTGGAAGGGGAAAGGGGCTGGAAGTTGACTCAGTCATCAGAGGCCAATGAGTCAATGAGTCATGCCTATATAATCTGCCTTCATAAAACCCAAAAAGAGGGGGTTCAGAGAGCTTCCAGGCTGGGGAACCATAACACTTCAACATGCCAAACCCCAAACTCCATGAGGACAAAAGCTCCTTTGTTCAGCACCTTACTCTCTGTATCTCTTCATCTGGCTGCTGATTTGTATCCATTAATATCTTTTGTAATAA